CTGATTCAAGTGAGCAAGGTCATTTATATTATCAACTTGGATCAGTTAAGATACATCAAGGAGAATATGTAAAAGCAATAAAATTTTACGAAGATACACTTGAAATTCATAATAATGTTGTTCCATTATATAATAATGAAGTAGCTGGTTCTTATAACAGCATCGGTTTGGCATATGATAATATGGGTGAACTTACAAAAGCACTTTCATACTATGAAAAAGCAGAGAAAATCGCTCGAGAAACTCTTCCGGAAGATGATCCTCGTTTATATTCTTTTAACAATAACATTGGTTCAGTATATAGCAAGATGGGTGAATATCAAAAAGCTCTTTCGTATTATGAAAAAGCACATGAATTTCTTCAAAAAACTCTTCCTGCAAATCATATTAATTTTGCTACTTTTTACAATAACACGGGTTGGATTTATAACAGGATGGGTGAATATACGAACGCACTTACACAGTACGAAAAAGCATATGAAATTCTACGAAAAACTCTTCCATCAAATCATCTTCAATTAGCTGTTTCTTACAATAGCTTAGGTTCGATACATGACGAAATGTGCGAGTATTCCAAGGCACTTGAATATTATAAAAAAGTACTTGAAATTGTCGAAATAACTCTTCCGAATCATCCTCTGTTGGCTGTTACTTATAATAATATTGGTGTGCTGTATAAAAATATGGGTGAACTATCTCAATCACTTTCATATCTTGAAAAAGCACTCGAAATTCGACAGAAAACTCTTCCTGCAAATCATCCTGACCTAGCTAGTTCATACAATAATATCGGTGCGGTATATCAAAATATGGACAAGCACTCTGAATCGCTAACATTTCTTGAAAAAGCACTCGAAATTCGTCAAGCTGTTCTTCCAGCGAATCATCCTAGTTTAGCATCAACCTACAACAGCATTGGCAATGCATATTATTTCACAAATGAATATTCAAAAGCACTTTCACATTATGAACGCGCTTTAAACATTTATCAACATTCATCTTCTCCTAATCATCCTGCCATTGAAAAAATAAAAGGAAGTATTGCAGCTGTAAAAAACAAATTGTAAACACTTTTGTTTCAAATATACATTATTTTGGAATAGAAAGAATATTTTTAGTAATAAACAAACACACACATAGTGAAATACTTCTTTTACTGATTGTATATCAGCGATTGATAGAGAGTGAAAGTATGTGACTATAGAACTAAATAAGTATTTCATTTATTCACAGAAGTACAAATGAATTTAAGCAAAAGTAACTATAAAGATGTGGATAAGATAGAATATCTATACCCACACTCACACCCACCCTCAATCCGATATAGCAGCTGTGGCTGAACCACATTTAAAATTATTTGTTATTTGACAACCAGGATTTGTTGCTGTCGAATATTCCTAAAGAGCACAGGAACATAATAGATATTATATTAAATCAAACAACTTACATAAGCACCAACAGTTGGTGTTACTGTAGATCGTAATTGCCCATTGAAATCATAAACAACAAGTTGATCACTAAGAGTTATACCGGTACCGATTAACGCAGATTTCACTGCTGGATAAAAATTATATGAGTTAATATTCAAGAAGATAGTATTATCAACTATGAATATTCCACCCGATTGAATACCTGCAGCGTCAACAATACCATTTACAGCATTATTAAGAATCGAATAACCTAAAATACCAATTCAAACGATTTTCTTTTATACAGAGAAATTTACCAGCTAAGTTCGCAGAAGATTTGATTGATTTTTGATTTTCACAATACAGTACATTGTTTGAAATTAATATATTATTATTTGATAAGCCATTTAGACGAAGGCATGCATCTGCTTGTGACATATAAACAGTATTATGACTTATGGTTATATTTCGAATGTAGCCAACCGCAGGATAAATGGAATTTTGTAGCACGCCAATTCCAGCAAGATCTAATACGGAAGATAATTTAAAAAAAGTAAGCTTCTGTTTATTCTTCATATTAATATTTTTTTACACTTACTTGCATTGATGACAATATTATTGGTGACTGTTGCTCCTGAAGTACATTGTATACCGAGATCATCGGTACCAGCATTAATTGCAATATTACCATCAATCAAATTTCGTCCACGATTATAATCATCATAAACAACAATACAAGGACCAACTGTTTCATAGCAAACATTATTGAGAATTTTAATATTAAATGAGCCAGTCTATAGAAACGAACATTCTTCAGTAGAAAAAAATCATCAAGAAACATTTACTTTAACTTGAAAACCCGCTCGTGATCCTCCTACTGAACCAAGTGTATCATGACAATAATTGTGATCAATGATAGAGTCTCGAATTCGACATACATCATTCTCACAACCAAGATAAATACATTCACCTGTTGTAGCGCCTTCATATTTCCAATAGAATTAAACAATTAGAAAAAATACAAATAATATCGTACATACTCAATGCAGCTGTATTAGTAATTTCACTATTTCTTAAAGTTATATTACTATATTCATTTCCAACATCATTTGCTGAAAATCCTGTTCCGGTAGTATTGTAAATATAGATATTATCAAAAATTGCATTTGATGTAACTATATGTCAACGGTAGAAAAAATATATATATTGCAAGAAAAAATAAGAATCTACATATAGATCTACCTGCTGGTCCTAAACGTACACCTCTTGAACCTTTAGTAAATGCAATACCTTTTATCATAAAATTTGAACCTTGAATGTTTATAATATTTTGAGAATTAGCGCCAGCTTGTGTACATTGAATAACAGGACGTAGCTCATTGAGTGCACCTTGAATAATAATGGGTTCTGTTAGTAGACCATTTAATGTGAGCTGAAAATAACCAGAGCCAGAAGTTGTATAGATACCATAATGAATTGTAGCAATATCACCTGCTTTTAAATTAGTCAAAATCGATTGCCAGTTCGATGTTGAAGTAGTAATATCGTAGGCAGTGCTTTGCGTATAATGAAAAATAGTAAAAAGAATGATCACAGTTAAAAGTGATGTCATCTTTTTTATACAAGAAGAAAAATAAAGATTACATATTTAAATCAATAATTCACTAAGCTAATGTTTTGTTGTATTGAAAAATGTGTTGCATATGAAATGATTCTTCTGAAATCAAAACATTTTCGATAAAAATCGGGCGTCTACTTTTCTGTACTTCGCTCTGTTTATGCACTTTCTTCCAGAACTGACGACTCATTCTTATTATGAAAGATCTCATACATTATCAGAAAAATATATCTATGAGGACATGCAATAAGATGTGTTGTGTAAAAGACCTCTCTTATGTATGAGAATATATTTCTTTTTGCATAAAGATGCCAAGGTATTTATTGAAACAAGCAAGAGAGGCAGAAAAAGTTTTAATATTCTTTTTTTAAAGTTATTTGTAACTCTCAATAAAAGTCTTTGTTCCTCATTGTTACTACAGGATCATACTTTGCATCAAATTTATGATCGAATAAAAATACAACATAAGAGTTTTATTTCAATATGATATATGTATCTCACTGCAATAAAACTCTTATGTTAGATCTTTGCTAGTAATAGTTAAACGAATGTAATTAATTTTTCTCACTCTTTGGTATATTCATATTATTTGATGCTATATGATCCGATGGGTCTACACAATTACTACTGTGCTGAATGAAAGTCAAGCCGTTGAATTCCATCGTTTTTTACTTTTGAATAGATGATGACAAGGGAGCAACTGAAATTCGAACCACTACCATGATACATCTTTTTATTAGAGCGAACAAAAACAAAGCAGAATGCACAAAAAGTCTTTATTTTCTTCAGTGTCCAGTTAAAATGGAAAAGAATACGTTCAGTTGAATAAAATATTGTGATGAGTGATTTAGATCGAATGAATACGAAGTTATTAATAATACAAAAGATTTTCGAAGAGAATAATTGACTGTTGCATTTTCACTCGGTTTAAGACTGAATACGACTTTTAAAAGTATTACTTAAAAATTTGCCGAATTTTGTTTCGAGTAGGAAAGTTTGTTTATAAAGTCGTGATGGTAAAATATACATAAAAAACAGACTAATTTGAGGCATGAATGATACGTAATAAGCGACAAGTGTTCCATGAATGAACCATGAACTTTTCTCATAATCACAAGCATCAAAAAAGAGAATGATTAATTGAGGTAGTTGTGTGACAAAGCAGATAATAGGACTAAGTAATAGATCAGCTCGTTGTCGAAGTTCACAGGATAGTGCACTTATAAGTGGTAGATGATGACTGGCTGCTCGAGAACGACTAACAACAATGATAATGATCAGAGCAGCTGTCATATGAATAAGAAATGGAACCATTTGATGTACAAGTGAAATGTATTGAACAAGTTTTCTATGGTGAAATTGAATTTCTTGAACACACCATGGATGAGAATCCTCTGGATGAAGTATTAATTTATATTGATCAATGAGAAAATAGCAAGATCCAAAAAGTATAATAAAAGTAAGAATAGATAGAATAATTGCATTTGAAACTGTTTGAAATGAACGAAAGCGAATTGGTTTTGCAACAGCAACAGCGCGTCCAACTGTGACAAAAATCATCAGCCAGAGACTGAAATAGTTTAATGGTAACATCAAATATGGTAGAATCTTGCAAAACATTTCATTTATACGATAATCAATGGTAATTTTTCGTGCAATGACTAGATATGCTACACGAGTAAATAGCAGGACGAGAACAAGTTGACTAATAATAGAACTCAAGAAGAGAAAAAAACCAATACTTGTTCCTCTAGCTTTTCTTCCGGAAAATGTAAGAAAAGTGAGACCATTAAAGATAATTCCTACTAACAGGAAAATTAGTGGACCCACGAAAGTTCGAAATCCTGATCGAGTCTTTTCGATAAGCATTTCCAAGGATATCGAAAAACGATTTAATGAAAACTGACAAAGATCTCCCGAAATACATTTCGGACAGATGCAAACAAAATCATTTCGATTTTGAAGGTCACCTCGAAGACAAAGACCATGATTAATACAATACGAACAAGTGATGCTATGTTGCCGATATGTCAGACATTCACTTCGATTTGTAATAATACTGCAATAACATACATAATTATCTGAATAGAAGCATGGAGAAAATTTTTCATCTTGACAATAACTATGATACAATTTGATGGAATGATGATGATGAATATTATCCATAAGAAAGTGACATTGTTGCAATTGCACATCAAGATCAATAATGATGTTGAATAGATGATTATTAGTACAATTGATATAGAGAATATTCAACACACTAGTCACAGAATCTATTTCAGGAGTAAACGTGTACAGTAAACCGACTTCGGGTACAAGCCCAGTTGTTTTTTTTCTTTTATCATAGGTATCCATCAAACGTTTTACTGGAAATTCTGTCCATGCTTCAATAAGGAATTGTTGTCGTAAACGTGGATAGGCAGATGATAATTTAAGTAATTGCACTAGAATTGGTCGCTCATTCGGCTTACTTCGATGTAACAGTAAAAATGCTTGATATGAAAGGCATTGTGAGGATTGACATAGACATGTATACTGATTTGGTGGAAAAACTGAAAGTGCATAACATGTTTGGTTAGCTGAACAGATATTTGCTTGTCGACAGATGGTATTTTGAATATGACAATGTGGAAAAAGAAATGTATGAGGACAAACACAAACATCTTGATCACGAACAAGAGCGTCTGCAGAACATTCACTGTGTTCTAATAATTTTTCACAAGATGCTCCATACCACCCTCTTTGACATATGCACAGAGATTGCTCAGAATTATCATTATCCATGTAGCAGGTACCATTATTCAAACATAGATTTTGAGAACATAACCAAGGAATGATTCTATCAGAAAAACGTAATATCTTCACTAGACGAAAGACAGGTAAAAAATCGAATGGAGTAATAAGATATTCCCAAAATGAAATAAATCGGTTGCCATGATACGCTTCAAACCGAATAGAATAAATACACCGATGTCGTGGTCGCGAGTATAGTAAATAAATCTGATGCTTTTCAAAAAAATCTTGATCAATATCGGCGAATGTCTGATGATCAATGATAATGCTACGATTGCATACTAATAATACAAGAACATGAAGAACAAATGGTAGATCTGAACGGTGTCGTCGTTCAAGACGCACTATTACTGTAATTCGTCGTCGGTTGTATTGACATCGATGGCCGTAGAAACTTGGTGGACAAAAACAATCTAATTCTGATCCATTTTGTGTCAAAAGAGAAAATCCTCGATTGCAAAATTCATGAATGAGTTGCTCATTCTTATTTGCCGTTGGCGGAATGGATTCACCATTTTCCAATAAAAGAGCTTTTGGTACATAGCTATGACAGAACGAAACATATTCTGATGTACGTTGCACTTTATTGAATCTATACGGTACACTCGTATTTCTTGGACACCAGAGGAAATGCTCACCATTCGGACAAGTTTGGTTCTTATTACAAGATTGTTGTAGACATTTTCTACCACTTGAACAGGCAAATTCGTTCATTTTACATTGACCGCGATCCCAAAAACAGATCAATTCATCTGTCTGATCGAAACAATCAGTGAAACCATTACAGATTTTATGAGGTGCAATACATTTCGTCTGGTTATCACACATAAAACGATCTCCAAGCATTTGATGATCAGAACATGATAATACATTTCGTTCGTCATATCCACCTATACAATCAATTTTCTCGTCACCAATCTTATTATTACTAATGCACGGTCGATTGAACGTAATATTCGATAGGAAATCGAATGTAATACAAAAATACTCTATTGATTGATTGCATTTACTTTGCAACGTCCAACCAGTACTAAACTTGGAACAATTGTGTTCATCATCACCATTATTACAGTCAAATTCTCCATCACAGATCCATGTTCGATCAATACACTGGCCTGTTCCTCGACATTGATACATATTCGAACTACACTTCCAATATGAACAATTGCGTTCATCATTTCCGTCCATTGTATCCCATATTGAATCACAATGACGTTGAAATAGTAATTGAATATCATTAACTCTATGATTTCGAAACATCTCGCATGCATAGTCATCTGGATACTCACAAAGGAACAAGTTCCAGTTGATATTAATCGAAGTTTCATCGCTACCATCAATACATTCATGTACTTTGTTTCCTAATTGTTGATAACTAACAAATTGTCTTGTTTCTTCTGTTATACAACGATATCGATAAGGTTCACTGATAGTCTGTTCTTGATTAATTTCGTCGTCTCCTAACAGGCAATCAATATAACCATCATTAATACGACGCTGAGATATCACCTGATCTGATTGATTGCATCTATAGAATGACACTTTGTCTTCATTTGTTTGCGATACTTCATCACTAGAAATGTACAACGATACTTCGCAATGTATCAATAAAAGCTGATCTAAACTAACCTGTCAAAAGGAATAACTGAGTAGTTATTCGCTGCCTGACAAAACAGATAAGATATAGGGAAAAATGGATAAGATTCTAGTGTTTGAAACTGTTCAAAATCCATACAATGTTCATGATAAACCCACTGTTGTATTTTATTGCATATCATTGAACCTTGAAAACAGACAACATCTGCTGTTACTTTCGGCAGACTTAAATGGAAATTCTGTACCGTAAAATTATAAAACGCAACGATACGAGATTTATTGAAGAACATTTTCAGAACAGGAGAAAGCGTAGATTGTTCAGGATATTGGATAAGATCAAGACAATGGTCGGTGATCTTGAGAACTGCCGTTTTTCTTTGTTTTCCACTTACGAGGGAACTTCACCAACTGATACCAAGCTTTTCAGTTCGGACCCCATGCATAAAGTAGGTCCTAGTGAGGTATGAAAAACCCCAAAAGGATAAGTGCCATTAGGCCTTCCGTCCCGAGTTATAGGCAATATACTGAAATTTTAGCCTATGGCAGGGTATGTAGGAATAAATCAAATGACGATATTTCGACCTGAGATTTTGCCCACAGAGAGGTCTATTAGTGACTAGAATACCCTGAAAATTTCAGCTAAAAAGAATGTTTCCTTCTCGAGATATTAAAGTCTCAAAAAAGCATGTTTCGTGGGATATACGTGATTTTTTAAGACTTTAATATCTCGAGATGGAAACATTCTTTTTAGCTGAAATTTTCAGGGTATTCTAGTCACTAA